GAGTTTCTGGGCTTTCTGAGCTGAGGGTGGCAGGCATCTCTCTGCATCTCAGCACTCTGCCCGGGGAATGTTCTCAGTGTGGACAGGAGCGCGGTCCCCATGGCCCCGGACTGGGAGGTCAGGTTGGGAGCCCCCCTGCAGCTCTGCTCAGAGCTCACCGGTGAGTGATTTGTGATGGAGCCTGGAGGGGCACACCTGCCTGCTAACAACAGCGACAGCTCGGGCTCATTGTTCTAGACCTTTCCTCCTTTGTGCAGGACGTGAATGAGTAGGGTCTCCCCAGGGAGTGGGAGCCTTCTGCCAGCTTCTCCCCAGAAATGCAAGATGAGGCTGGGTTTGTCTAGCCTGATCCGAATGGCACCCTTGGTTGTGCACTGTGGGAGGGGAGAAGCCTCGTGCTTGTTCTGACCACTTGACACAGCCCTAAAGCACCACCTGCCACCGTGGTGTCCTGTGAATATCTGGACAAGAAAGGGACTTTGTTTCTTTGAGCTGATAGCATGTGCTTGCAGGCGCCAGTTTCCCGAAAAGCTATGGTTTCTAACAGCAGCGTTGTTGGTTTGCAAGCTTCTCCACTAGCACAGATTTTGTCTGAACTTTGCTTCAAATACACATAGCTGGAGGCCCATAAGTGGGTGTCGAGGGAGGGGAGCTGGGTCCTGGCAGAAGAAGGGGAGACCGGGTCACAGAGACCGAGTGCTCCTCATTGTGGTGGCATCGGAACCTCACGCCTAGCAGGTACCCTGTAAATATTGAAAAAGTGATATAAACATTGAAAATCACTTTTTATGTGGAACATGTAAAATTTCCCTTCCTGGTCTCACTGCTAATCTAACTGGACTTTTGAATTTTCTGGCATAACTTGTATAAATGAAGCATTTGGGACTTTTTCATCGACTCTTAATTACCTGGAGGTACAGAGCGTGTCAGGTCAGGGTACTACATACTAAGTACATAGAACTGGGGAAGGGGAGTGAGTGGAAAACTCAGTGTCGAGCTCCTGCCTTTCATGGTTTGAAATCTAGTAGGAAAAACAGACCATGTGCATGAGGTTATGTGACAGCTTGAGACAGCTTTAATCGGAGGAGTCAGCTTTATTTTGGGATTGTGGAGGAGGTGAGGGTAACTGAGGGCAGGAGGTGTCTGGGAGGGTGAGGCTGGGGCTCTGTCTTGGAAGGTGGTGGGACCCCCCCCCCATGGGTGGCTCTGAGGGCAAACGGCTGTGGCAGGGGTGGACCTTGCGTCCATGCACAGGTGTGCTGGGGGCACACCAAGAAGTGGCAGATTCTGTCATCAAAGGCCCAGCCTGTCTCATGTGTCAGCATCAACAGAGTGCTGAGTATATACTGGTGGACGAGGCTACCCCGGGTCTTGCCTCTTGGCCCTGCAGTGGAGTGGGAGATGCATCTGAGATCAGTAGCACATACAGGCACGGTTGCAGGTGGCGAAGTGCTTTGAAGGAAATTGCAGAAAGTGTTACCAGTGGCCATAATTTGGACGGGTAGATCAGGGAAGCCCTCCCCAAAGAAGCATCACTGAGCTAAGACTAAAGAGTGAGTCGGCAGAGAGTGCTGGGGAGAGGTTCCAGGCCGATGGGCAGCACGTGCAGGGGCTGGAGGCACGACCTGGCTTGGTGGTTCTGGGAAGTGTGGCTGGAGGGTGGGGGTGGGGAGGTAGGCTGGGAAGGCCACTGAGAACAGCGGTGCCCGTCTTGCATCATGCCATGCACAGGAGTTTGGGTTTTGTCCCTGGAGCAGTGGGAAGCCATTGAAGCTTCAGGCTGGCAAGTGATATGGTCAGATTTATGTTCTGGAAGGTCCCTCTGTAGCGTGGAGAGCAGGTTGTCGCCAGGGTGGAGCAGGAAGAGCCATCTGGAGACCCTTCTAGGTGGAGAAAGTGGGGTGTGGCCAGGGATGGGAGCAGCGAGGGTGCAGGTGGAGTCGTGTCGGGGGTCAGATGTGCGAGGGAGGCGACAGAGCTCGCGGTGGTTCACGGGCTGAGACGTAGGAGGCGGGAGGAGAGCAGCCTCGGGAGGGAAGGTGGACACATCCAGATGTTCAGTTTTGACACGAGGATCTCTGAGTTGCGTGTGGCCTTCCAAGTGAAGATGCCGGCGACTCTACCTTTGTCGACTGTGCTTTCGGTGACGAGGCTAAAAGCCATGGCTTAGTCCTAGCTCCCGGAGACGTTCTCCTGTGTTTTTCTACTAAGTTTTATTGTCTTGTGTTTTAAGTCTGTGATCTGTTTTGAGTTCATTCTTTATAAGATGTGAGGTCACAGTCCGTCTGTTGCCTGTGGATGTCCAGGTGTGGTCGGCGTTGGTGGAGTGGCTGTCCTTCCTCCGCTGAGTTGCCTCCGCCGTTGTCAAAGGTCCGGGGCGTGTTTGTTGGGCCCGTTTGCGGGTTGCGGTCTCTGCGTTCGTCCCTTCACCAGCGCTGCAGTCTTCAGTACTGCAGCTTTGTCCTTAAGCTTGACGTCAGGCAGACCAGTCCCCTCACTCCAGGCTCCTTCTTCAAAACTGTTTGTGACTCGTCGTCTCTGCAGCTCTCTGTGTAAACCCGTCATACGGGGAACATCTGCCCTGGTCGCCCCTTCCCGCCCGTTTACCGCCAAGTCAGACGCAGCAGTCTGGTCAGGGCTTCGTTGACATTTGTGATAAATTTGGTTTCCTAATAATAATCCTGTGGTGTTCTCCCAGGGACAGTGTGTTTAGTTAGGTTTTTGTGGTAGCAGTCATCTAAATTTTAAAAAGATTTAAGGGAAAACCGTGGTTCTCCGACTTGAGCTGCACAGAATCACCCGAAGGGCTGTGAAAGCTGCGCTGGGCCCACCCCGAGTCCCACCCCGCAGGTCTGGGGGGGCCCGAGAACTTGCATTTCTGAGAAATTCCCAGACATCGCTGGTTCTGCTGGTTCCTGGTCCAGGGACCGCATTTTGAGAACCACTGGTGTAAGATAACATGTTTCAGGACTGGTGGTTAAAATGACAGACTCTCATACTTCTAGTTCTTTTTTTTTCTCCTTTTCCCTAAAACAGTACTTCCTGTGATCCCTGGTGCTGGGATTCTTGCCGCCTTAGAAGTCTGGACGCTGCACTTTCCCTTCCACAAAGGACATTCCGAACATAAAGGGATTTTGCCAGGCGCACAGAGACCTTGAAGATGCTCCGTTGCTCAGGCCTCACTTGCTCCCAGGGGGGCTGTGGTCTGCCCCTGGGCTTAGAAGAGCCACTGTAGGAAGGCCACGTTTCAGGGACCAGATAGTGCTAATGAGGGGTGTCATTCCCTGGACCCCCACGTTCCAGCGCGGTGGGGGCGCAGGACTGTGCAGTGCCCCAGGCTGCTCCCACTCTCCCGCTCGTGCTGGGCTTCCTGTCCCCGCAGCTCTGCTCGGAGGGGGCGTTTCTTTGGGGCACGTGGACGGGTGGGCAGTCTGTGAGAGTCGCAGGCCAGAGACAGGCACTGCCCTGGGGAGAGGCGGCCACGCCAGGTCTCCGTGGATTTATCCAGACTTCTGAACAAGTCCACCAGGACAAATTCCCTCCTTCCTGTCACTCCGATTCTGACTGGTTTCGTCGGGACTCTGTTCTGCGTGGTCTGACTGCAGTGTGGCTGCCGCTGGGGCCGCCGAGCCTGTCGCAGACTCTCCCGACCCTGAGTGGTGTGGGCTTCTGCAGTGGGCACACGGGTCCCCAGGCTCCGGTGGCACGGCAGCAGCTCACTAAAGCATGTCCCCACCCCACCCCAGGGTTTCTTCTGCCTCTTTGTCCCTCTTGGCCTCCTGCTCAGTGCCAGCTGCTCTCCCCTCTCAGACTGGTCCCTGCCCACGAGTCCGGGAAGGCCAAGCAGAGGGCTGGCGTGAGCCTGAGTTAGCCTTGCTAGGGCTGCGTGAGACATCTTTGAATTTAAAAGGGTGTTCCCACGAAAAAAAATATGATGCTGTGTTGGGGGAAAACATTCTACCTGGTTATTTTTGGCATTTTAAGGGCAAACTGGAAACCCATGTCTTCTCTGCCTTGCTGTCCTCTGGCTAATTCTGGCTCTCGTCGTGGCGTTTTCAGCTGTGCTCTCGGACACACGTGCACAGCAAACCCGAGTGTCCACTGGGCTTTGCAGGATCCAGTTTCCTTTCCTCAGGCTGCTGGGGTAGGACGGGGCGGAGGGGTGTGGAATTCGCATCAGGAAGTGCCAGCCTGGCACGTGCCCAGGCAGGTCCGGGCGGTGGGCGCGGTGGGCCTGGGGCGGCGCGCGGAGTGACTGTCAGGTAGCGGGCACTGTGTGTGTCTCTCTGTGTCCCAAGGTGTCCCAGACCACGCGAGGTGGGCACTGTCATTTCTGTCATAGCTCAGAAATCTGAGGCCCCGAGTGACCAATGTCCAGATCACCTGTGAATGGGGGGGGGTCTGTGCTCAGCTGCCCCCTGTGCAGGTGGTTCTTGAGGTGGCCTCAGAGGACGGACGGGAAGGAGCAGTGACCGGATCTGATGACGGCCTGTGTGGGAGCAGGGGAGCCATCCCTGATGTCACGCATTGCTTATCCCCGAGAAACGCTCCCACGGCGTGTGTGGGGCGTTGGGCGCAGGTTGGCGGCTGAGGGAAGAAAGAGGTTGCATTAGACACGGCTGCCCTTGGTGAATTCACGGCCCGGTGAGGGCGGGAAAACAAGAAGTGTCAATGTGGAAACTGACTTTTGAAAAATGGGGATATCTTCATTTTACAAATGGAAACTGATGGCTGTATGAAAAGATGAGAGTCTGGGTTCGTGAAGACTTCCTAGACATGAGGCCGTTCAGGCCCATTGCTTTTGTTAAAAAGCAGCGTTATTTTAGGTGGGAAGACATTCTGAGTCTCCCGGCTCCATTCCACAGAAAGAGGGGACCCCACTGTGTGTTCCCTTTAAAGTACGGGTAACACCCTGCACGGCCGGGGGACGCCTTTGGTAGGACTTGCCTTGAAATACCGCTTTGTCGTTAATGAGGCTCTCTGTGTCCCGACAGGTGTCAGAGATGGCCGAAGATGGCAGCGAAGAGATCATGTTCATCTGTAAGTGACCCCGGACCCGTCCGCGACCCGCTCGCTGCCACAGAACGCAGACGAGCCCGGCGCTTGCTGTCTGGGCAAGGCCACGTCCGAATTTTGTGTTTATGATAGAGAAAAGCTGTTTCTTTTGGAATGACCTTAAGAAACATGATTACATGAGCCGTGCACTTTGGGGTACAGTTTTAATAGGATCGTCTTTCTCAGAGCTCCTGGCAAAGGGCGTGTAGCAGGGCTAGCGCTTGATTCAGAAAGTAATCCGAGGGTTTAGAACAAGGAAAGATTTATCATAAAACGAGATTTATGATAAATGGGTTAACATCTGTGGATTTTCATTTATTCTCAGTGTTCGGGGAAGATCTATTCTTCGTCACCATAGAGGTGACTATATGATTTGACATGTCCCCAGAGCTGGGTCTTTTCCTTGGGCATGTGTCCTGTTTTGCACCCCTTACATTTTTGGGAGCACTGAGAGCGCCTTTGTGACGCAGGCTTGTGCCCTCACTTGCCTCTGTGGTGTTGGTGCACACGTGTGCCTGACCACGGGTCACCCCCACCGGGCAGGGGTCCTTGCATCCCAGGCTCCTGTTCTTTGGGTGTCCCCATGTGGATGCCGTCCCCTCTGACACTCTAACACTGGATGTCTGCTCACAGGGTGTGAAGACTGCAGCCAGTATCACGACTCTGAATGTCCCGAGCTGGGCCCCGTGGTCATGGTCAAAGACTCCTTTGTGTTAAGCCGGGCAAGGTGAGTGACCGCGTGAGCTGCTTTCACTTTCCCAGCCCCGTGTGTCAAACAGGATCATCTCCATGTCAACTGCGCCCCGAGCTCAGCGGCCTTTGTGTCTGCACGTGGGGGAGAAGGAGCAGAGAGACTTTCAGTGGGGATTAGTGGCTTCCGTCCACTGTGAACCGAGCAGCCGTGCTGCCAGGACGAAACAGGATGTGTCTCAAAGTCCAGACTGAGCTCTTTGATCCAGCCCAGCGTTCTGCAGAGCCCAGCTGTCCCCGACACAGCGTGGCATCTGTGGGAGAGCTGACTGGCCGAGTGACCAGTGCACCGAGCAAAGGCAGCCTCGCTGTGGGTCTGCTCTGCGTCCGATCCAGGCCTGCAGCTGACACGCACTGGGGGCCGGCCTGGCGGGCTGGGCTGGGGGCGCTGGGTATGAGAATAGGGGGCAGGGCGGAGCCTTTGCAGGTTCTGGAAACACCTGCAGGTGGAGGGAGGAGTCCCCGTGGCCCACAGCTGCCTGCCCCGCCACGCTTACCTATGGAGGCTGCGTCACCTGGCGGCCCAGAGCAAGTGACCTGGGACGAGGCCTTCTCCTCTCTTAAGCTGGGTTGCCTGTGACGTGGAGAAGATGAGTGACCCTGGTCGTGATGCTGTCGTGTGTGTGACGCTAAGACTGTTTTCATCTTTGCGGTACTGTTGCCGGGAGCCTCCTGACCACCCCGCCAGTTTTCTTTTCTTTTCAGTGTGACTTTATTCTATGCAAAACAAAGAGATCAATATGTTTGCGCTGGTGGAGAGCTGACCAGGTCTCGTCTTCTGAAAGCCTGCAGGGGTTGCCTTTTGCCCACATTCAGTTGAAATCGTTGTTCCCGCAGTCGTCCCCTCTGTGAGGGGTCCGTGGTGTCAACCGGCCTCCCACTGTCCCCGTAGGGGCCTGTGCTCCGGGCGCCCTGGCATCTGCCACTGCTCTGGACGTGTCTTGGGCTCAGCTTCCCTGGCCCGGCGCCAAGGTCCCGGCTGGCATCCCTGCCCCTCAGCGCCCCGTCCTGCACGTTCTTCTGCTTTGGTCAAACAGGCCACGTTCTTGGAGAAACTGGCCCCATCCCACCTGGCTGGAAACCCTCTTCTGGTCTTTGGGAGGCCTGTGGCACTTGTGTCTTTCCCGTGCCACCCTCCACGTGGTTCCTCGTCTCGAGATCTGTGGTCCTTCCTCCCTGGCCCAGTGTGTGTCTTACGGGCAGGAGCTAGACTGGCCTGTTCTCTTGTCCCACAGCGCTCTGCACGCTCACGGGGATTTTAAATGCATCCTGTAGCCAACGGCCCCTCCAGCATGTGCTCTGGGCGAATCTTGCTGGGGCCTTTTGGTGGGTCTGCGTGTGTCACCACTTGTGTGGCGCTTGTGAGGATGGCTTCTGCCTTACCACCATCAAGAATTGATTTCGAAAGGCTCATGGGGTCAGTGAGAGTGAGCTTTGAGGTTATCCTAGTGGCCGTCAACGCATGAATCTCCCGTTTTGTTCCATTTCCAGGTCGTCTCTTCCTCCCAACTTGGAGATCAGACGGCTGGAAGATGGAGCCGAAGGCGTGTTTGCCGTCACTCAGCTCGTGAAGCGGACGCAGTTTGGTCCGTTCGAGTCCCGGAGGGTCGCCAAATGGGAGAAGGAGTCCGCCTTCCCACTGAAGGTAAAGCCAGTTGCCAATGGGAGCCCAGGAGCCGGGGTGCCCTTGTGGCCTCCCCCGTGGGCACGGGTGCGCTAACCGTGGGGTTTCAGTGATTTGCAAGTGCCTCCGAAACAGCTCCGAATATCGTAGTTCTGCTTAGTTTCCAAAAAAATATTTCTTTCTTTTTCATTTTTTTAGTTTGTATATCACAAGAGAATCAAACTTAAGTTGGTATTTTGTAATACTAACTTTGAATTTTGCAAAACATTAAAGAGTGTATTTAAAACATATGCAGGAGTAAACCCAAAACGCTGACCTCAGTTCTCTTACGACCTGGGTTGATATTGCAGGTTCTGTGAGGTGGTTTTTGCAAGAGTGGGTCAACCTAGTTATTTTCACATCTAGGCAGGGCATATGCATTTGCAAAGCTTTTTCAAAAGCAGGCGATAGTACAAAGTTTGGCAGCTCTCAAAATGTAGCACATCAGACAGAGGAAAGACAGCTGTTCTCTACTTTTACACGAAATTGAGAAAACAAAGTGGATGTACATTGCAAGGGGGCTTAGAGTGCTTAAAATGCGACCTGTGCAAGCCCCACGAGGCCAGGCGAGGTGGTCGTTCACCACCCTGTCGGCCCTCGGCATGGTGCCGGCGCAGTGCCAGCCTTCTGAGGTATCTGAGATGAACACATGAGGAGGGGGGTGCGGTGGACAGAGGTCGGTTGTCCTTAGAGACCCTCCAAAGGACAGGCAGAATCCTAAGCTTGTTTTTTTTGGCAGTCCCTTGAAAAACTGAGCTTACAAGGCAGATTTCAGCAAAAAGGGGGAAAAGGAAAGGTGCTTGATTTGTTTACGAAGAAAGAAAGAAAAGAATGAGAAAGGCTGTTGCATGTCAGGGAGTGACGTAAAGGCCTAGAACTGCGCCTCAGAAAGCCGGCCGCGTGCTGTCCTTCGTGGGCCCTGGGCGGCAAACGCTCGCAGTGGTGTGGGCACACAGCCAAGGTGAGTCCCGTTGAGAAGGTCCTTTGTGCCCACTTTGGTTGTCTTCCAGCGACTCGATTCTGAAGGTACCGTCTGGTATCATCTTGTTTTCTGTGCACGTGCCAGCCTCGGACACCTGTCGGCCCAGGGCCACCTGTGGGTTGCCAGAGGGAGAGTGTCGCCCGCAGGGAGCACACCTTCCACAGCGATGGGAGGTCATTAGACACCTGGTGGCCCCCTCTGCCCCCTCCCCTCGCTCCCAAGGGCTCTGCAGGAAAAGCTTGGGAGAGGGGAGAGGTCTCTCCCTGTGGTGGGGAAGCAACGATTACAGCAGAAAGTGGGGGACAAAACCTTCCTGTGCGCGCTTGGTTGATTTGAACTTCAAAATATTTAAGTTTCTCTCCCTGCTCCCTGCCTGCTTTTAATCCATAGAGCAATAGTGCTGTTTTATAGATGAGGGACCGCTTATAGAGACTGAGCAACTTAGCTGATGTCACCTTGCACGCTTGCAGCAGAGCCCCGAGTAGAACTCAGGCGTCCGGGTTCTCACGTGGACCATGGGTAGAACTCAAGTGTCCCAATTCCCACCGGACCATGCGTAGAGCTCAGGTGTCCCCATGACACCTGGAGCAGGAGTAGAACTTAGATGTCCTCATGCCCGTATAAACTGATGAGAACTTGAGTTCTACCCCTGGGCAGTGAGTAGAACTCAGGTGTCTCAAATACACCTGGACCAGGTGTGGAGCTCAGGTGTCTGATGACACATGGACCTTTTGCTATGTCTACTGCTTCTTTTTGCCTGTGACTAGCCGGGCCTGCCTAAGCCATGTGGTCTGCCATGACCTTCCCAACCATTGTGAACACCTGAGCAGGTCGTGTCCTCGGACGCGGTACTGTCTAGCGGGGTTCCCCGGCAGCCCTGCACACACACTGGTAGGTAATCAGCCCTTCTTGGCCCCTCACCGGGCCGGGCTTCCCCCAGGTGTTCCAGAAGGACGGGCACCCCGTGTGCTTTGACACGTCCAACGAGGACGACTGCAACTGGATGATGCTGGTGCGGCCGGCGGCGGAGCCCGCGCACCAGAACCTGACGGCCTACCAGCACGGCAGCGACGTGTACTTCACCACCTCCAGGGACATCCCCCCGGGCACCGAGCTGCGCGTGTGGTACGCGGCCTTCTACGCCAAGAAGATGGACAAGCCCATGCTGAAGCAGGCCTGCGCCAGTGTGCACGGTACGTGGCGACCCCGTGTCCTGCGGCCACCTTCCTTCACGCCTCGCCGGAGGGGCTGCCGGCCCCTTGGCTGCACGCGCCAGCCCTCACTAGTGAGACCAGTCGTGCCGGGCCGGCTGGCTGGGGTGCGGGCGGGGGAGGGGCTGCTCACCCCAGGGAGTCGGGTCTGTCTGTCTCTCGTTAAACATCCGTGTTGACAGACGGAAGAGCTCAGCCCTAAGCCGGGCCACTGCTGGGGGGAAGCTCCCCCTTTCAGGGCTACTGCGGTAAATTTGGGTACGTGGCCGTGACACGAGCTAATACAGTCAGGTGCAGCTTAATGACGGGACGCGTTCTGAGAGAAACGCGTTGTCAGGCGATTCCGTCGTGTAGACGTCTGGAGTGCGCTTACGCAGACCCAGATGGCGCAGCCTGCTGCACACCTAGGCTGTTACTGCCGTGGCTCCTGGGCTACACCTGGACAGGGCATGGCTGCGGAATACCGGGGGCAGCTGTGGCGCAGTGGTAAGGTCTGTGCATCTAAGCACAGAAGAGATACGCTAAAACACGGTGTTATAATCTTACGGGCCCGCCATCGTATATGCAGTCCATTGTTGACCAAAATGTCATAGTTCTGTGCACGACTATGCTTAGTTTTGCTCTCGGGACTTTCCACACAGTGACTTACCCTCCCAACCCTCTGAGGCTGGAGTGTTAGCCCTATTTTTGGATGGAGGAGACAGAGCACAGAGAGGTTGAGGAACTTGCCCAAGGTCACAGCGCAGCAGGTGGAGGAATCGGGGTTGGAACCTGGAATCTGGCTCCGTGTTGCCGTTCCCCTGGCAGCAGCCTCCTCCCGGATTGGGGGTGCGTGTGCACATGTACGTTCGGAGAAAGACTGAGCGAAGGTTATGTGAGTGATCTGCCCGAATCCAGCGGTCCTGTTGGAAAAGCAATCACAGGCCTGTCCTCCTAACCAGGGTCCGGGACGTGACTCTGTCTGCTAGGGAGGGTCTGCGGAATTCGAACCTTACCCGCAGTGTGGGTCTTTCTGGCCTAGATCTCTTCGTGTAACCTGGAGAAACCATATGGAATTGCTATTTGACATTTTTTGACCTGCGAAACAGCTTTTTCAGGTGGCCCACCCTAACACCACCCAGGGGGCAAACATTGTTCATCATTGCCATGGAGATTATTTGCTCAAGGGGGAGAAATAGACATTGACTGTGCTGACCCCCCAGATGACATAGTTCTCACACGGAAGTGGTTTCCTCTTCACTGTAAATACAGCGTAATCCAAAATAGCTCTGTAGAGTAAGATTCTTAACATACCTGGAAGGGTCCGGTCTGTCCTGTGTTTGTTCATTATAATCGAGGTTGTAAAATGCTCCTGGGATCCCCTAACCCTGGGGGCAGGCGAGGCAGAGTGTGTGTGAGTGGAGGCGTCCGTGGTGGCTGCCCGAGGGCTGCCCTGACAAGGTGATTTCGTTAGATTTCCATGGCTGCACAAACCGGGCGGCTTAAATGTCAGAAATGTATTCTCTTTGGTCCTAGAGGCCAGAAGTCCAAGATCCAGGTGTTGGCAGGGCTGGTGCCTTCTAGGGGCTCGACCCCCAGCCTCTGGTGGTGGCCGGCACAGTGGCCTTGGCGTCCCTTGGCTTGTAGCTGCGTTTCTCCCGGCTCTGCCTCTGTCTTCTCCCAGTGTCCCTGTGTCCTCGCCTCATAAGGACACAGTCATTGGACTTAGGCCTCCCTAATCCAGTATGATCTCATCTTGATGACATCTGCAAAGACCCTGTCCCAAAGGCTCCAGGTGGATGTGGATTTTGGGGGTCACTGCTCAACCCGCTCCAGGGCACGTGACGGGTGGCCACACATGGAGTTTCTGGGGACACTGCTAGGGACTGTCAGGGGGACCCAGGTGGGGTGGCTCTCTCCAGGTCTGCACGGTGGCAGCCCCTTTTTCTGCCAGGATGGTGAAGTAAGCCGAGTGTCAGAGGGCGGGGTAGGGGGTTTCGTCCTTCACAGACATATTTGCAGAGGGAGACCGTGGGCTGTGTCGGGGTCCTTTGAGAGTGGAGGGATGAAACGAGCTTGGAGACCAGCTGCTGCCAGCCCCTCCCTGGCCCGGCCCCAGGGAAGCCCCCGCGGCAGCGCCCTGCTGGGTAGGAGCTGCTTCGAAGGGCTGAAGCCTCACTGAGTAATGTCCAGTAACCGTTCCGGACCTGGTTTCTGGTGTCTGGGATTCCTTAAGGCCTGGGAGGTTGGCAGCGTGTGTGCCCACGACCGGCCCAGACTGCGCGTCGAGTCAGGGCTTGGGTTACAGGGTGCTGACCTTGGGGACTCACCCCTTGTCAGCGTGTTCTGGGTGACGCCGCGCCCTTCACGACTGTCAAGGTCAAAGTCGAAGCGCAGTTTGCCGCCGTGTCGGAGTTACCGGTGCTCTGCTTGCTGCACCCGCTGCAGAGCCCTCCGGTCCGGAGCTCGGTTTGAGACGATAGATTTGGGTGAAATTGGCCGGGACTGTGCCGTCCGACAGAGTCACCTCCTGACTCAGCCTTTGTTGTTAATAAGAGGACTTGCTCTGTAAAATTTGGATTCAATCAGAAGGCCACACTCAAGGATCTAGATGTCAATGTGGCCCCAAGGCCGCAGGTTCTCCACCCCGACCGTGATTCCCCCAAGCCTCTGAGAATAAAAGGATACTTTGAATAATGACACGGGGACAGTCTGCATAAATGGAATGCAGTCACCCTCCTAAGCAGGTTTTTAATTGGGGAAATAAATAAGCAACTTCGGTATTCTAAGGTTTTATAAGTACATTTTATGATTCGCACTTTCTGTTTTGGGACAAATGGCGAGCGGCTATTTCTAGGAAGAGCAGTGAACATCGCAGGTCCTGTTTCCTAGCTGGTGGCTGGGTCCCTTCTTTCTTTCCCGTCTGTAAGAGCTGCCTGCTGAATGCTCACTGGTCCCTCCAGGTGTGGCAGACCCTCACCTGGGTCCCCCTGCAGGTTATTGAAATAGCAGCACAGCAGCTGCCTCCCCTCCCCCTACCTTGCCTCTCACCCTGGCCACCCACCCAGCCCCTTCCCCCCAGCCCCTCCTGCCTGTCCCCAGGTGCCCTCTCCAGGCACAGCAGAGGTCCTGGGGCGTGTGTGTGCGGAGCGCCTCTCCCAGCCCAGGCCATGTGCCAGGAGCCCACCACGGGGAGCCCACCACCACTCGCTTCTTAGAAACTAGTTTCTCAATAGATAACAGGACCTGTGAAGAAAGGCTAGAAACATCCGGAAAGCTGGCCTCCATGATTCCAGTTGTTCAGATTGGACATGTGGAGGCCTGGCTTCTGCTCCTGCTTGGTGACTAGGCTTCCGCGAGACTGTCGCCAATGGCGGGGGCACGGGGCCCTTTGCAGCCGTCACTACCCCTATGGCCCGACTGGAGTGGGCAGAGTGAGGTGAGTGGCCGGGTGTCTGCCTGCTGAGAGTGGCATTGGCACCGGGGACGGGAACTGTGTTCCCATAGCTGACGCGGTGCTGCAGCCGACTCTCTGCGGAGTGTCAGAACTCCCAAGGCTCCTTGGCTTATTTGATATTTCTGTCTCTTTCTCAAATTTGCTTTAAATGTGCGTCTCGGTTATAGAAATCAGTCAGTTTTGCAGACTGGCAGAGCCAGCTTCTAAATACAGAGAAAAGTTTGATTTTGTCCTAAAGGAGCAATGACGCCTCCTTTTAAAAATTTATTTTTATTTTTCTGATGGGGAATTTACTTTTCTGATTACGTGTTTTCTGGAGCTCACATTAAGGTTGGTTTTCTTTCTTTACTCGAACCTGAACCTGCTGGCAGATGAAGGAGGCTCAGGAAACCCCGTGGGTCCTCATGGGAGGGAGCAAGCACAGGCCTCAGAATCCGCCATCGCCACCAGATTTTCAAAATCACCTTCTAACGACAAGGATAAAATACAAACACATTTGGGAACATCGGGGAAGCTGTTGGATCACGCACAGTACCGGCGTTCTGACCCACAGCTGGTGGCATTTTGACTGCCGCTTCCTAGAGTTTGTAAAAGACCAGCACTGGTGACGTGTAGCTCACGCACACTCACGCGCACGCGTGCCAAGTGTGCCGCGCAGAGACTTCTGACGGGTGTGTGCAGGTGTGTGAGCTCCACTCCAGTCGAGTTATGGGACGTTCCCTTCACCCCGGAAGGTTCTCTTGCCGTCGGCCGCCTCCTCACTGGCGAACACTGAGCTGTTCTCTGTCCTCTGGGGTTGCCGTTTCTTTTCTTTTAAAACTGTGCGTTTTTACGTAGTTGAGGCCTTGCTGTCCGTGCCGTCTTACTGCCCACTTCTATTTCCCTGCACATGCTGACTCGCCAGCAGATCCTAAGCATTTTTCCTACTGTCACTGTCTGGCATCTCCTTGCAGGCGTGTGGTGGTAGCTTTCGCCGAGATACTTCTCTTTTGTTGGCTATTTAAGTGATTGGCAGTCAAGAATTGCCTTCTGATTGTTGGATAATTTCTTTTCTTAAACATTCTTTTAAAATTGATTTTGGGAAAATGCTGAGTACTTCCCTTGATGAGAAGACAATCATCATGATGAGTTCTAGCCAGTCCCCATTACTTAGCAGGGAGCACTAATTTGCAGAGAACTGCCTCCAGTTTGGGGTTAGCTTGAACTACATGCATGGGGCGGGGGGCCTCATTGCCAGGGACAGCAGCCCACGCCGTGGGAAGAAATTCCCTTTGTTCTTACGTGGCGTGGCGGCTTCCAGCTAACCCGTTCCTGGTCCTCCTTTCCTGAAACGGTCACGTGCAAGTGTGTGTTTCCCTCTCTGGAGCCTGAGGGCATTTGGGAGGGAGAGAGGAATGGGAATTTGGCTGTGGTTTCACATGTCCATGGTCTGCTCCTGGGGTCCTCCAGCCGGCAGAGTCCCAAGTGGGCACAAGAGAGAGCAGACAGTGCCCTGCGGGTGCCAATCTCTCTCTGTTCTTCCTTTACTTTTACAAAAAATTTCACACGCCCTTTGTACTTCTTCCTTCCTGTGATCTTAGGAGCCCTCGTCACTGTCCTCCCTCCCCAGACCCCTGTGGGGTGTGGCGTGAAGGGCTAGAGGTGCTGCCCCAGGTGCCTGTTTGCTCAACATCTCTAATCATTAGAGAAATGCAAATCAAAACCACAATGGGGTATCACCTAACCACGGTGAGATTGGCCTCTATCAAAAAAACACAAAACAACAAATGTTGGCGAGGATGTGGAGACAGAATAATGGCCAGCAAACATATAATGTTTGCTCAACATCTCTGATCATTAGAGAAATGCAAATCAAAACCACAATGAGGTATCACCTAACCACGGTGAGATTGGCCTCTATCAAAAAAACGCAAAACAACAAATGTTGGCGAGGATGTGGAGAGACAGGAACACTT